TTCAGCCTGTCTTCCAGAATAAATTAGTGACGAGGACTGAGGTGCCACTGTATAGAGTTCTTCCTTTGGTTTTGCTCCCTTTCCTTTCTGGGTGCTTCTCTGAAAAGATTTCCCCATCCTTAGAGGGTGTGCATATCTTAATTTCCTAGGATATAAAATGTTCTTTAGGAAAATCAAGCAACTATGCATGGTTGAAGGTGAGGTGGCCCTAGAAGACTGGCTTAAACCTTGGATGCGTCTAGCTAATGATGGAAAAGGATGGTGTTCTAATCTCACACATGTCAAGGTTTAACAGCCTGATTAAAATCTTGAGGAAAAAGTGGTCCCTTAAAAATCACAAAACTGTGTCTCACTTATCTTGGCCATGTCATATGGGGGAAATTCAATGGAGAAAGCAATTATGCTTGGAAGGGTTAACAGTAAAAGGAAATCAGGCCGCCAAAGGACATGGTGGCTGGACACTATCAAAGCTGACACCAGCCAGAACAACTCAAAGACGCACTGCAAGATCGGAAGATGTGGAGAGATCTGATTCACTGAGTCCCCAAGAGTTGGACATGACTGAATGGATAATACCATCATCGTTTGATTGCTTGACCTTTCTTCTCCAAAGACTGGCATATACATGAGAGGAATCCTGTGAATAGTAATTTTACAGAAAGGTTCAGTATGGAATGAAAATGGTTCCAGGTTGGCAAAAGAGGACGATGAGGCAGTATGCTTTCTCCAATTTATGTAACCAGGCCAGAGGTGGGTATTCAGCAGGTTCTGACCAGTTCTGGAGAACCGGTAGCAGAAATTTTGAGTAGTTCAGAAAACCACCAAATACCACCTCTGTCTGGAGACTTTACAGTATCCTTCCCCTGCCACGTCCACCAAACCACACCCACAGAACCGGTAATAAAAATATTTGAATCCCACCACTAAACCAGGCTATATTGTGGGAAGCTGGGCTGGAGTTTATTTTATTTTATTGCCATTGCACCTCGTTCAACAAAATTAAATGCCATCTTCAGCGTACAGCTCATCTGCCTGAAATCCACACTGTATAATGGAGGTTAATACAACTGAGCGAGTCCAGAGGTATTTCACGAGAAGAGTACTCCACTCCTCTGCTCGCAATTGAATACCTTATGCTACCAGGCTTGAAATTTTGGACCTGGACAACCTAGAACTACGCTGCCTATGGTCTGATCTAAGCTTAGTACACAAAATTGTCTGCTACAACGTCCTACCTATCAATGACTACTTCAGCTTCAACAGCAATAATCCACAGGCAAACAATAGATACAAACTCAAAGTAAACCACTCCAAATTTGATTGCAGAAAGTATGACTTCAGCAACAGAGTGGTCAATGCCTGGAACTCACTACCTGACTCTGTTGTTACATCCTCAAACTCCCAAAACTTTAACCTTAAACTGTCTATCATGGACCTCACTCCATACATTTTAACTATAAAAATAAAACACAAACACACATCCTTCTCATTCTATCCAACTGAATTGAAAACCCCTGATATTGCATTAATATTGCACTATACAGTAGAATTCAATATAGTTACTGTCCTGGGATAGAAGCTGTTTTTCAGCCTATTTGTCCTTGTTTTTATTATCCTGTACTGTCTGCCAGATGGTAATAGTTCAAAGAAAGGGTTCCCAGGATGAGATGGATCTTTGAGAATGTTTTGAGCTTTCTTAAGGCAGCAGGAGCTATAAAGCTCTTCCAAAGAGGGGAGAGGACAACCCATAATCTTTTGGGTAATGACATTAACCCTCTGGAGAGCTTTCCTATCTGCCACTGTGCAATGGGCAAACCGTACAGTGATGCAGTCAGTTAAGATACTCTCTATGGTGCAGCGGTAGAAGGTCACCAGCTGTTTTTCATTCAGTTGTTGTTTTCTGAAAGGTTCTGTGTGGCTTTAAAATTGGAAGAAGACACACCAGTGATTTCTATTATGATGATGACATTACTCTGTTAACTGAACTTGAAATAACCTGGAAACTCTAGTAGTAAAAGTCAAAGAGTACAGTGAAAAAAGGGAAATGAAATGAAATATAAATATAAAAATTAAATATAAAAGAGACCAAACTAATGACATGGCCACAGACTGGGACTTGTTAACTAGCAGTGAGGGCCTTGTAAAAGATATTCATATGCCTGACATATCTACATATCCATAGATAGATAGATAGATAGATAGATAGATAGATAGATAGATAGATAGATAGATAGATAGATAGATAGATAGATACAGGCAGACAGACAGACAGACAAAAAATGTGCAAGCAGTGGTTTTTCCCTATGGAAGTGAAAATTAAGACTTTGAAGAAGCATGACAGAAAGAATATTGATTTCTACTCTTTATTCTGATGTTGGAGATGAACCCTGTAAATAAACAAATGGATCACAGAACAAATCAATCCAGAGCTCTCACTTAAGGCACAAATGATAATACTTTGGACAAATAAGACCTAGCTCTGAGAAATTTACCATCCTAGGAAAGGTTGAAGGAAAGAGAAAAGGACAACCAGCTGCAAGGAGTAGGTTAGAGAAGTGATAGGTGTGCTGTGGAAATACTTGAGGGGCCAGGTTGGAGACAGATCATCTTGGAAAAAAGACAAGGTTCTGCATTAAGTCCTCTTCAACATCTTCATAAATGATTTAGGTGAGGGGATAGAAGGGGAGCTTATCAAATTTGCAGATGACACCAAGCTGGAGGGGATGGCCAAACTCCAGAAGACAGACTGAAGATCCAAAATGATATTGATAAATTTGAACATGGGGCCCTATCTAACAAAATTAAATTCAACGTAGAGAAAAGTAAGGTTTTACACTTGAGGCAAGAAAATCCAAATGCATAGCACAGGTGGTGCTTGGCTCATTGGTATTAATTGAGAGAGGGATTTAGGAGTCTTCGTGAACTATCACTTGACTATGAGCCAGCAGTATGCTGCAAAAGGCCAATGCTGTCCTGGGTTGCATTAACAGAGGGATAGAATCATATCACTTTATAAAGTTTTAGTAAGACCACACTCAGAATATTGCACCTGGTTTTGGTCACCATGATGTAAAAAAAATATTTAGATTCTAGAAAGAGTGCAAAGAAGAGCAACAGAGCTGATTCGGGGTCTGGAGGATAAAACATGAAGAATGGTTGCTGGAACTGGGTACGTCTCCAATGAAAAGAAGGACTAGGGGTGATATGGCAGTAGGGTTCCAATATCTCAGGGGTTGCCACAAAGAAGAAGGGGTCAACATTGGGTGGGCCCACGTGCTCATCGCAGTGAACTGGTTTGGAGCCAGCTGATCATCGGAACAAGGGGTTTGCCCAAACTGGGCCAAACTGATAGAATCCCACCCCTGATTCACTCCCCTATTACACTGCTTTATGGGGCGGACGACACTTAGCTTGCACCTCATTGCGCAACCAAAGCACCTTCAAGTTTTGAAGCAACCAGATGATAGTGTCTCTCCTCTTGAGTGTTGAAGAGAATCACTCCAGCAGGAAAGGAGGAGGCTGAAAGCCTGGCTTGGATGTTTTGACAACATGCCAAGCTCGACATATTATTCCATATATTCATATTGCCCTCTCACTTCATCTTCCAAGAAACTCTGAAAGAAGCTTCGTGATCTGGCTATACAAAGCAACGTTTGATTGATGGGTGAAAGGAGAGGCCATTTAGCTGGAAATATAACTTGGCATTGCATTATAACTCTACAAGCAGATATGAAAGGGCCATCTGCCATATTTGATCCAGAATGGCCTTTTTCTGCGAACACAAGGACTCCTCCGCTGACAGCATAATCATCGCTGAACAACCACGTGCAAATGCATCCTGGCACTCCAAAAAGAAGGAAACAACAGCTAGTCTAAAGTTATGAGTGAGGGCAAGTCTTAATTAAAACTAATTGCAACTGAAATAGAGATGGATACATCATCTAACGTTCAATAAGTCTTCAGATTGGAGCACCAACCTTTTCTAAGGTGTTTAGATATTCTGATGTAAAAGCCTGAAGCCCACAGAAGATTAAAACTAACTATAATAGACTGTAAAGTATCAGTCAACCTGGATAAACCAGACAGAAAACACTAGGTGAGTTAAATCTACTTTATTGTAAGGTTACATTAACAGATTCTTCCAAGACTTCCTCCTGCCACTTTTAACCACTTAATCCATTAGGGTGGGTCCTTCTTAAATTTCTTTCTCTGACTATTAAGCCCTAGGAATGTCTCCTTCTGTCTGATCATTCTATTAGGCCCGTGATGGTGAACCTATGGCATGCGTGGCGGAAGTGGCATGTAGAGCTATCTCTCTGGGCATGCCAGCCGTCACCCGTTGCTCTTCCGGGTTCCGAAGTGCATGTCGGTTGATCTTTGTGTGAGTGGGAGCACTGGAAACCAAAAGGGCAGCCCCCCAATGCGCATGAGCACGCCAGCCTGCTGGTCTTCACTCATGTTAAAAACTGGAAGACCGGCATGCATGTGTGTGCCAGGAACCTGAGCTTCCTGTGCTTTTAGGGAGGGAAGGAAAGAAAGAAAGGAAGGAAAAAGAAGGAAAGAAGAAAAAAGAAAGGAAAAAAAAGAAGGAAGGAAAGCAACCAAGCAAAAAAAAGCTTGGAGAGAAAAGTCTTTGAGAAAAAAAATGAAGAATGTATCTCATACATACAACATGATTGAGAGGTGTTATGAATAACTGTCACACTGAAGATGGAACAAAGTTGTTTTCTGTCATTCCCTGTTTCAGAATAAAAAAAGGATTTTGACTAAAAGTTAGTCCTAATGGTACAAATTGCAAGGCAATAAAAGAGAGGGACTTTGAAGGGTGTAGACTTTATTCCATTAAAAGTTTTCACAGAATTTGAATCAGGGCTGCCATCAAAGAAATTGGACCAGTATTCCTTCCTATCGTATAATTATTTCATGTAATTTCTAGTAACGTGAAAGAGGTTATTTCAGAAATATTAAGCAATTAGACAACTTTTCAATTCTCATCTTACCTTCATACAGCCAATCGCTGAGTCCGTTAAAAATAACTTTCTCTTTTCCAGTGGAGACTACGCGGATTGCTTGTTTCCCCATATGGGCACAATAGTAGATGTTGTTTTCAAATATAAATATCTAGGCAAAAATACAAAAACAAACCATGATTAACACAGAGAGCTCAACAGCAAGCTATGCTGTCGTCATTGGCACTCTAATAGCCCCATGATCTTTGTAAACCGACCATCAACTTTTATAATTGAGGTTCTTCTTCTGTGCCAACTCAGAAAGCTCAAACTGCCCAAGGAGCTGCTGATCCAGTTCTACAGAGGAATTATTGAGTCTGTCATCTGCACCTCTATAACCGTCTGGTTTGGTTCTGCAACCCAACAGGACAGACACAGACTTCAGACAGTAATTAAGACTGGAGAAAAAACAATTATTACCACCTGCCTTCCATCGAGGACCTGTATACTGCACGAGTCAAAAAGATCTATAGACCCCTCCCTTCCTGGACATAAATTGTTTCAACTTTACCCTCAAAACGACGCTATAGGGTACTGCAACCAGAACAACTAGACACAAGGACGGTTTCCACCCCCAAACACCATCACTGCTAAACAACTAATTCCCACAACACTGTCAACTTATTTACTAAAACTGAATTACTATTATTCCTCTCATCCTTCCTAGTACCTATCTCTTCCCACTTATGACTATGACCGTGCTGCTTGTATCTTTATGATTTTTATTGTTTTATTTGTTTCCTAGTATGATCTGATTGCTTATTAGTAACCTATGACTATCACCGAGTGTTGTATGTTATGATTCTTGATGAATGTATTTTTTTCCTTTTTGTAAACTGAGGCATATGCATCAAAGACAAATTCCTTGTGTGTCCAATCACACTTGGCCAATAAAGAATTCTATTCTATTCTATTCTATTCTATTCTATTCTATTCTATTCTATTCTATTCTATAGGATGGTTAACTGTGGTGGAGAAAATTCCTTGGTTAACCTGCCTTGAGCCTCTTTAGTACGGGATAATTCATACATTTCATAGAGGACAGTTTTATGTGTGTGTGTGTAGGTTTAAAATTAAAACTCTACTTTAGGGAGAACAGTGTTGCAATTAAGACGTAAATCTTGCATGTGAACAAGGCTATCCCTACTTCAAACTTTAGAGCCTTCAATTTTATAACAACAACAACAACAATAATAATGGTACTTGGCACACTGGGTGCTGTGCCTAAAGACCTAGGCAAGCACTTAAAAACAATTGGTGCTGACAAGATCACCATTGGTCAGCTGCAGAAGGCCACCTTACTGGGATCTGCTCGCATAATCCGCCGATACATCACACAGTCCTAAACACTTGGGAAGTGTTCGACTAGTGATTTGTGATATGAAACCCAGCATGGTTATCTCATTTGCTATGTATACTGTCATTTTTGTGTATAATAATAATAATAATAATAATAATAATAATAATAATAATAATAAT